AGGTGGCATCTGTTTCGCATTGTTCTCAACCTGACCTGATTGTATCAAGCTCGAGTCTAATGATCCTGCCACATGCCCCAGTTTCACAGTACATGGACTATTATCAACGTGATCATTTTTCTTCACAACACTTAAACTATCATCAACCTGTTCATGTGGCTTCACATGTGGACTACTATCAACCAGTTTGTTTGGATTCACATCACCTATACAATTACCAGCCCATTCAACTGCTTTTGAAGTGCCCAAATTATTATCAACCTGTTTATTTGCCTTCACAGTATCTGATCTATTATCAACCCATTCGTTCACTTTCTCAGTACTTGTAGGCGAGTTGCGTTCTGCAGGATTCTCACAACCTTGTAACGAAAATGCAGATGTATGCTCATCTGCATTTAATTGGAGCACCAATGTTTTGTTATCAGAATCATTTGTAAATGGAAACTCTACTGAAGCTTCCTTGTCAGAACTCATACACACTTCCTGTCCAGCCCTCCCCAACAGCGTGTCAGAATCCTGCACATTACAACAGACCCACCTGTTACCTTCTAAACTACATGGATCCATGATACGCCTGACTTCCATGTCAGCCGTGTCGTCAGATATATCTGAAGATACTAATGGACTGGGTTCATTTTTAATGACAAGACTGTCAGAACTGCGGCCTAGCTTAACAGTCACTTTCACACTCTGTGGTAATGGGGCTTGTTCTGTCATGAGCGAGACAGGTTGGCTTATCACTGATGATGTGGTTACAAAATTTCCTGGCACAGTTTCGGTACTAAAACTACTCAGAACCTGAATTTGTGGAGCAGAATCACTGGGTGCTTCACAGTCTGGTTCATTTGTTGAGTTAGCGCCATTTGTTTTGAAGGTGAAGCCGATTGTGACATTGCCAGATGGACTGGTGACAGTTGGGGGTGGGACTGAGGGTTCTACCAGCGTGACACGAAACCGGGAAGTTGTTGGAGATGGGAAGAAGCGCGATGGTGATGATGATAGAGATGGTGGAGTGACTGGAGATGATGATGAGGATGATGGAGAACCAGAATATCCAGTGCCAAGGAAAGAATTTGACTCTGCAACACGTGACACCTAGAAGAAAAGAAAAATGATGAGGATGACAGCATACAGCATGCATTCGTATGTTAGCATAAGATACAGTCTTCACATAGCATGGCAGAGTTATTTTAATTGAGGTTTTCAAGTAAAGCTACGGGTAGACACTAACCTGGAAGCGTGTTCGTGATGGGCTTGGTACAGGGCTAGACACAGGACTGGGGACAGGGCTTGGTGCAGGACTGCGTAGTCTGCCACCACTACCCCGTCTTGGCTCTGTGAGCAGGCTGCTATCTGGTATGACAGCTTGTGGAGCGAGGGCAGTGTTACGGAGCAAAGTCTCGCATGTCAGAGAGATCTTGCGCGATGTGCTGCTGGTCAATCGACTCCTGCCTGGTGTTGCAGCTGTAGGACCTTCTTCAACCGTGTCTTCTTCCTCACGCGCTGCTGTTTCATTGCGGGTACAGTAACTCCTGATTTCAGTCACCAGGGTCACATACTGGTCCAGTATGGTATCATCCTCCTACACATAAGTGCATACACTCAATGGAATGGGACTTCCACCCACTCCAGTAAACTTGTGATATTTTGTTGAGCAAACAGAATGCAGCAGTATACCAGCAGGTTAGGGATACCAATAACTGGCCTTGTAGTTCAAGTCAGAACATAAGAAACATCTGCAACACTTACCAGTTTCTTTTTGGGTGCGTTGTCCAAGTCAAGTTGTGTGACGCTTGTGTTCACCTTCATTGACAGAGCCAGCGCCATCAGACCGGCCACTTTCAGGCAGTTGTCTCGTAAGTCTATTCTCTAGAAGCAAAGCATATTTGTTACTGTTGTACAGGTAACATAAATATTTAAACAATCAACTTCAGACTTTGATGTGAAGCCAATAAATAGCTAAGTGAAACAATGTCATTCAAGTTGGCACTTTATCCTACAACCTACCTGTAAATGGGAGGCTGCCAGTTCAATCCCTGACATGAATGACAGTTTTTCACTTAGTCACTTCCATAACCATTATCGTATTTACCGAAATTCAAACCACACTTCTTTGGTCTTCCAAAATTGGAGTGCAGATTGCTTCGATGATGACTTCATATTGCAGAAAGTAGCACTTCTCAAACAGATAAACACATTCTATAATATTTTAGCACTTTTAAACTCAGAAAGACAAATGTTAAAAATGGATAAAGCAGCAAGGACAGAGAATAGGTTAGAGAATGGTAATGCTAAGGGAGAGCACGGGCCAATCAGGAATGATACGGAAAAAGGTCCAGCCCAATACAGAGTTTCCAAGCAGAAGATGGAGAGTGGGGGCTGGAGAAAGAAGAAGGGAGAGAAGAAACAGCCTTTTCAGGGCCTAGTGGAGGAGTCATGTTCTTGGTGAGAACCTGTTTCCATACTTTTAAGTGGCAAATGAGAGGTTTCATACAAAAGTTAGAAAAATAAACAGCAGTTTAAACTTAACAAAGTTTTACAATACATTTATTGCACAGAACAGCAGTTCTCAAGCAAAATCAGCTGTGGTCACAATTTATGAACAAAAAAATTTTCTGTGCCCAAATTTATAGAGAAATTATAAACATTTTCTACGGTCATATTCAGTTTAAATTAAGATTCTGATATGGATATTCAAAAACTTATAAGAAGCTTCAGTTATAAATGTACAACATGACAAAGCTGGTTTATTGACAGTCAAGTAGAAGGGAATAAATACCAAGGCTGGACATAGAAAATTGATAACACTTTCAATCCAATTACTTCTGATAAGCATAATTCACTATAGTAGCTGCGGCCACACTTGAGAATTACTGATATTAATTGGAATGATAAGTACAGTGAAGGATTTTGTAATAAGATTTTTATTGCAAGTTACGGTTCAGAAGCAAAGCCCCAAAGCTTCAGTTACAGTTATAAATGTGAGAATGCAAGTGATTCACACCTGTATGATGGGGTTGTCTGCGATGAATTCAGCCAAAGCAATGGCCCCCTCACACGTAAGATGCGTTGACTGCATGCCAAGTTGCAGCAGGGTCCGATTCTGCTGTAGTGAGTCCTTCATAACATGTAGACATTCATTAGTCAGCTTGTTCTGCCCAATATTGAGCGTCTCCAGGGTATGGCTACGTGCCTGCACATGAACAGGAAAACACACCAGAACAAATGTTACAGAGGATAACAGAATAACTCATTTTAACTATCACATTTAAAAGCAAGGACGTGAAGAGAACAAAGGTAACACTGGTATTCAAAGTAACTGTAGTGCCATTGTGATGAGGTCATTATTGTGAGTCAACAACGACTTCAGTTACCACTGTTATAAAAATGTGCACCACCAATGGCACCAGTTTCCACTTTTGCATAAGAGTGTTATACAACAACAGTAAAAGTAAAGTAAAGTGTGTCCCACTATACGCCATGTAGGCGCTTGGGGTGAGAGGCGGTATAGCTCCTCTCTTCCTTGACCTCGGCACTAGATGGGGGTGAGTGGTCAGCATCACGCCCCGGCCGGCTTTACCCCCGGGAAAGGACCCCGGTACCCATTGTAGAGGAGGCTGGGTGGGCCCCAGAGCCGATCTGGACGCAGAGGCTAGAGGAAAAATCCTCTGCCCCCGTCGGGGATCGAACCCCGGTCGTCTGGCCCGTAGCTAGTCACTATACTGACTGAGCTATCCTGGCTCATATACAACAACAGTAGCTCACAATAATTACCTATTCCCATTATTTTAACGACATATTTAAACACACAAATTCCCATGATGGTCACCAGATCACTGCACCTCAATGACCACCTCATGACTTTCCTCATCCATCATTTTATCTCCGCTCATAGAATATTTAAATGCGTGAATGTGACTTCATATAGAACGGCACAACTTCCACGTCAAATTTCATCCAAATCTGCGCGGTTGTTCTTAAGCCAACAGTATTATGGATTTATTTATACGAACCACGGCTCGGGCAAAATGTGTCGATGCATTGCGAGTGAGATGGTTGTTCCACAGCACAAGGATGCTCAGTCCATTGCCTGGCTGACCTGGCATTTGATCTGTCTGGCCTGTCAGTCCATCAGAGATGTGGCCCAAACCAGTATCTTGAATGTTGTTATTACTGAAACAAAACATGTCAGTCCATAGGGCAAGACACAGAATTATTTTTATTGACTGTATGCTGTACAGTTGTTTGTTGTCATGTTTATGCAGCATTAATGGCAACATCAAGCAGTAATAAAATCAAGACTGTTAATTTTAGAGGTGTTTTATGGTGTAATAAAAGCTATTTCACATTTTAGCAACTAGAAAGTTATACTACAAATTTCAGTTCATGGCATCAAAATGACTAAGGTACACAAAAGTGATTAGTCCCAAATTTCCTAATGATATTCAGATCATACAAACTTAACCGACATGACATTAAGTGATCACAACATACATTCTACATAAGTAGCATAAACATCTGACTTAAGTTTTATGTCATAAATATACAAGAATGCACTGCAATATTTTCAGCCCATTTTCATTATTTACAGACAAAACGTAGACTTTGAGAATGCACTGCAAATATTTTCAGCCCATTTGCATTATTTACAGACAAAACGTAGACTTTTGAGATCACCATGTTGTCTGTGTGTCTGTCTGTCCCCCTATTAGCTTTTAGAGTGACCAAATTTAATTAAATACGGTATAAACGTCATGCCACTGGATATGATTCCAACCTCATTTCATTATTCCTTATAATAAATAATAACAATATAGCAAACAAATTAAATTGCATGATTTAATGTAAAATTTGAACAAAAGTTTTAGACATCAAAACAAAAGGAATACCAGAATAGTTCTGGTGTAAAGTTGCTGGACTGACCTAATATCAAGCAACTGTAGTGTGAAGTTAGTACG